GTTGCGTGTGGGTAGTCACTTATGGGCCACCCTGTACCTTATTAAGAAGTTTATCGTATCCTGAAAAAAATACCTTATTAGGAAGTTTATCGTGTCCTAGAAACAGGCCATATAACAGAATTATCACTTTCTCCTCCTCCCAATCCACAGTATTCCGGAGTTTCTGCAACGTCACTAAAACTGCAAAACATTGTAAGTTCATATGTAGATTCTATAAAAGGTTTGAATTAAAGCAGAGAGGTTAATAAGCACTTATCATATTTAGATTATAGTTCAGTCAGTTTTTTTTGAGACGCCTCCATGAACCACCACGGGGCGACCTGCCCAGTAGTAAGAGCTGCCCAGTAGTAAGAGCTGCAGGAAATCACAAAAGCAATGAGGAATGTTGAAATTAAATGACTTTTGTCATTTATGGGTGCTTGTATAATAATTTTACCGCAAGATTTTGATAATCTTTGTAATAAACTAGTGCAATGATTGGACAAGTCACAATCAACAATGATAAAAGTGTTTTATATAAAATAACCTAAAGCGAGAATGTCGTTAGTTAACTATAAAATACAGTACCAAGCGATGTATTAAAGTAACACAATTATACTCGTTCTAATTGATATTAGCTTACTTTGGTTCAACGAAAACCTACCTTTTATCTGCTTTCGTGAAATTTAAAAGTGATGTTAAAGTAACACGAGCCCTTTAAAGGTTGCAGGGGTTCCTTCTATTATCGTTGATCAATTATGTACCAAGTACACTATGTAATACAGCAAAGTCGTCAGTCGATAACTGCTGTTAAAGCCATGAAAGTTCAAAGCGAGTGCAGAAACAAAAAATGGCGCGAAATCATAATGTTCAAGCCACACGTACAACGTATGATCTGCATTATGCTCCTTCATCAACTAATTCTAGTTTTAAACGATTTTGACACGCTAAAATGCGCGCGTGGATTTGCGCGGCGCGTAGAAAAATTTTAAAGCTGTCGGATAGAGGTTAATAAATTTTTCTACTGTCAACACAGCCCAAGTTATTCATGTTTAAATATCAAAAAATGTCCGATTTTTTTGTATTATTTTTAACTAATTTCCTTTTCAAATCGCTGCCACATCAAAATTATTTTACGAAAGTACATTAAATTTTTACAGAAAGCAAGCTGAATCGTTTTAGAACTAAATTAAAAAAGAATTTAATATAAAAATGTTAAAACTTTAAAATTATCGATGGAATAAATTGCCAACGTCCAAATATGTGTAAAATACGACGAAGGGAGGTCACAACACTGCGCGCAGGAGTGTTGTTGGTGTATTTGATATGTCTTGTTTAAACATTAGTTGCAAAAGTAAATGAAAAAGTGTCAAACAGTATATATACAATAAAGTAATTCAAGTGTTGCAATTGGCAGAGCACAATACAGAGGTAACGGAAATTGTCCACTGCTACCAATATTATATATGAAATATCAACAATCAGATATATACACATATATAAACAGTCTAGATCTTAACTTGGAGCCACAAGGTCAAGGGTAATTTTTGAGTGTTTAGGGAATTTTTTATATTCTTAAAGGTTTGATTTTATATAGGGTCATTGCTATATTATGTGTATATTGTTTGAATAATTTTATTTAGATATATACACATCTACTCGGAGTGTTATAAAGTTGTTGTACTCTATAAGTGTATATTCACTTACAAGCATAACTGCTTGGCGTGATGAGGTACATCTTTGATTGGTCGAAGGTCTTTCAACAACACAGCATCATCACTTTCATAGTAGTCCCCGGCTTATGACGGGTTCATAGCGGTATTATAGGGGCAGGGATGAGGTTATAAGAGACTTCTGATGGTGGTGTCTCATATTTGCTGTCCATTTTTTTCCCTCTGTACCCTCGTAGAGCTATGAGTGTGGTTCTTAACATAGCGAATCTTATTCTTGTCCTTACATGTCTTACCACATCGCAATACCTCTCTTTTCTTTTCCTGGCGATGAGGTCTGCCACTCTATTTAGAAACCGCTTACATTCTTTGGACATGCCTCCAGTTGTGAGAAATACGGCTGGGGTGAAAGTGGCCTTCTCTACGTTCAACACTCTCTCCAAGTACCCCTCCTCGTTATCTTTGTATACTTCTTGAAGAGTGATTTGCTAATGTGTCTCTGATGTTGTTGTGGGTCATTATCACACAACCCCTAGCTTACAGGTGAAAAGGTGGTCAACATTAGTTGCAAATGAATAGTTAATTCTTTTCAAGCTAGATTTAATCTATGTAATTTATTGTGATTATTATATATTTTGGTCTCAATTAGAGGTCTCGACTGTATAGCCTTAGGCAATGCCTTAGGACTAATAGGCATACCAGTACCCATCTGCCCTGATATGATGACTTGATGTGTGACCCCATCCTGCCAATTAACTAGCAATTACATTTTATGTGGTAAGTACCAGGCCTTGATTATCTCTGAGAGCCTTGGATGTGCTACAAGCTTATAGATGCTCTAGTACAGCTTTTGCAGAGTGAGCAAAACCTGGTGGCTGGGCAGTGGCGTAACGTAACTTTTGTTCCGCCCCCCCCCCCCCCCCCCCCGCTGATTGAAATTTGCCGCCCCTATCTTTGCTCGGGTACTTTTTTTGGCTTTTTGCTGCCCTCTGAAGCAAAAATGGTACCCCAAATATTTGTTTCATGAAGAATTTTTTTCCTTATTTTTTACAGATACAAGAATTTATTTATAGTGGGGCAGGTGCCCTTTGAATGTCTTACTTTGAAGTTGTCGACGTTTTTTGTCGTGGTCACAGATCACAGAGTCTATATTTTGGTTCGTTGCCAGAAACTGTAGCTGTTTGGCCCAAAAGCCATTATATCTATCTATATTCTATTCATTTAATATAGATAAATAAAAAACCACTGTGTTAGCTTGTTCCAATTTCCCCATTGTTTTCAATGAATAATGTACTTGACCAATTACTGTATCACGAACAAGTTTTTTACCGAATAGATTCATGACACAATGTCTGAAGAGACCGAAGTAGTGTGTCTTACAAACCCCTTCAAACCAATTCAACCAGGAATTGTGAAAATGGAGCGCACAGATGACATTCAGGTGATGGTTTTTTAGGTTTTTAATTCCTAATCAAATCAAGCTTTTTTGGGAACAATGATGAACTTATAACAATATCATCTGCACTGTGTGTTTAAGATTCATTGTGTTATTTAAAAATATTGTTCTCACTGAAACACCCGTTCATAATAGGCCCCATAATAAATTAATACAAGGTTTGGTGGTACAATCGGGAGGCCCGACATAGGGGGCCCGATTATCAAGGGTCAGATCATATCACCAATTAGTGACGTATAATTAGTGATGTAACCATCAGTAGTGATGTGATCCATCAGTAGAATTTAATTCACCCAGAAATGGGCTAGATATAGGGTCAAGATCATGTCAATTCTGTAAATCACACTGTACAATCAGACTTCTATTATACCAGTCTCGTATATTACCAGTGTTTATCATTTAAGACCTATTTATAAAAGGTATTAATTGTTCTGACCTAATCCGGTCGCGGTTCACCAACTCCCCAAATATACTTTATATTAATTTGCGTAATTGAATAATTTTAACTTAAGGGTTTTTACTCTGCATGTTCCTAACCTTTTATGATTTTTTATCAAACCCCTGTCCCCTATATCATGTAAAGACTGTCCTCGGATATGTCTTACTACATTACAAAATATTACCCACAACCAAAGTTATGACCAGCTCGTCTGTGTATGTATATTAGATATGAGTAAATTGAGCAGTAGTGAAAAGCTGCATTAAAATTTTTACTTGCACATGTGCAATATTTGCAATATGCATCGTTACTAGACCAAGCTTAAATTGTGCTATCATTCCAACCTCAATTTTCCTCCTTTCCTCCTTAAAATATTACAAATTATTTGAGACTAAATTTCACCAGGTACTGTACACATTGAAGGGAGAGCCAGACATATCGGTAACCTGTGCTTTTATAATAACTCAATTTGTACAATTATAGTAGTACTAGATAGTAATAAAATTGTAATAATGTAATATATATTATAATATATGTATTATAATATGTAATATGTACTCTTAGCAGCCAGCATATATATTACAATATATAATACAGATGTACGTGAAATTTGAAGGATAGAATTTTAAAATTTGAAACATTGCGCATAGCTTCTAAACATGATAGTTACTTATAGATGTCGAGTCCTTTATCAAAAAAACAAAAACTCAATCATATTCCTAATAATTGATCAAAGGTGTACCGTGACCTTTATTGAATAATTTATTCACCAATATCACGAGGTTTTAATTGCAAGTACTACACAGTCCCCACCTCATCAAACTGCCGTTCTCATTGAGGTGTTCAACTACATTATTTTACCTTTATACGCATGTACTCTACTACACTGTACTAATAACGTCAACTTAGACAGACTCTATTTCCCTTTCTCTTATTACCTGTGTCGTGATGTGTTATTATATATGTGTATATTATGTGTATATTTACCAGTTATAGAACAAAGGGAAATGAGAATTAATGATAATGACTTGATACATAGTTGAATCTAGACTATAATAGGATTGTGTATTATATTAAGAAACTGTTTATACCATTAAAATATTCAAAACCCCTAAAAGAAATCAAGTCATCCTAAAATGGTGATCAGTACAAATCAAGACAGCTAGAGTAAAAATGTATGAAGGATTGTGTATAAAATTTATGAAGGATTGTGTATAAAATGGATTATTGGCATTATAATGTTCAACAATCTATTAGCTACATTAATAACGTTATATCCCTTGCAGCCTGTAGGATACTAGGTTACATTATAGCTTGTTTGTAAACAAACTTCTGCTTTAGAGTTAAGATTCTCCCTACATTAGAAGCTTGTGTAGTTTACTACACAGGCTGCTTCGTTTTATCGTACCTAACAATTGTGATACTGATTGTTGGTTATTAATTGATAATATCTCAGATAATATCGTCATCAAAGAACACTAGCTCCAATAGCTCCAATACTGTCGGACCAAGTAGTAGTACTCACGTCTCCCCTACGGCTAACGGCTCAGCAACCAGTGAGTTCAATATAATGTGTTACATTTAGATTATTAATACCTTATTATCTCCTAATTAGTTTCTAATTAGATCCTTATTGGTTTCGTAATTACTTGTTGTTAATATGGTATTGTTTAATTTCCTTATCTGAAATTGATAAGGATATATCATTTTATTTTGTACCATGCAACATTCAATAAACCGAATTGAAGCACATGTAAAACTTGAAAATGTCGTTGTATGTACACTATCTTATTCTGCATGTCATGCCATTTTTTGCGAGTTTTTGTTCCAAGCAACTGCAAATATTTCTGTTTGTCACATATGATTGATAAGCAAGTAATACATATTATATATATTTAAATATTATTCAAGTATTGTAACAAATTATTGCCATTTTAATAACTCATAATTACTCATTTAATTGCTCCTCATGATATATTTTACAAATGAGTTATAAGTTCACCGAACCTCTGAGCTCAAATTACAATTGATTTACAGGTTTAGCGACTGCTCTGAGTAATGCGCTAGCTCGGCGCAGCACCAGTCCTGCTGATGCTCCTGCTGCTGATTTGGACGAGCTGAGAATGTTGCGCACTTTGCTACAGCGCGCTACCGAAAAGAACAAGTTGGTCCATTTCATAATTTGTTTACACTTCTGGTTCTGCTTTAATGTTTTGTGTCTTTTAAGAACGGAGACCCTTAAATATCATGTCCCTGAGTAACATGATATATACTATATCATCAGCAGTTAGACAAACATTCAAACTAACTCATATATTAGAATTTGCCAGCAAATTGCACTCTGAGATTAATGATTCAAGTACGGAAGCACATTTGCATTCCTAGAATGTTAAGTTGAGTAGAATAGGTAGACATGCAAGTAATCACACTGAATATAGGCCCCCCTATGTCGTCAATCAGTAGACAGTTGTACACTGTACTGCAGTGTAGGTAGCTCACTGTAAAATGTAATACTGTACATATTACATATTAGGCATGTGATCCTTACTATAAGCAATAATATGCACCCAGTGTGCCCTTGTCATTTTAGCTTTGTTCCATTACCTGCTATTATTACATGGGGAACACGTCCACACGTCCACAGCAACAGCGCTACATATACTAAATACTGATGAATATCAGTGACACTGCTAAAGTAACCCGTAATTAAAAACCATTGTTATAATATGGTTTATAAACGAATATAGATATTAGATATGCTCGATACACCATTTATCAATACATCAATTATAGTTATTAGTTAGAAAAACATTTTCATAGAAGAACAAAATTTCCATCAACAGTTACAAAAACATCTCTATTTTAAATTTCAACATTATGATGTATGCTAAATGAGTGACAACATGCCCTGAAGGCTGGACTGAATCATCACCTCTTCTTCAGAAATATTGGTTCCCTTTCTGGACAATGTGTTCTGATAATGGCCACATTAAACACAATTTAGTACAATTCTTATATTACGAACGATTAAGAGAGTAGTTTCCAGTGCTAGTGCTTGTATATGTAGTATTACGACTAGAGGTGAATACTGGATAATGGATGTTTGATCTGTAAACACTGATTTTGCACACTAATAACCGCGACCGGTAGTAACCATGCACGGGGGGGGGGGGGGGGGGGGGGGGGGGGGGGGGGAGGCCAGGGGAAGTCAGTTTACATATATTGGCCTGTATAGCTCAGTAACTGAGTGCCCGATTGAGATTATTCTTCTTGGTATGACTTACTATCACGACTCATTCAGGGAATATATCAAAAGAAAGAATATTCATGAAAGTTCATTTCCGTATTGATTTGATAATCAGATCGAGTAAATTTGTATTGAATTGTGTTTGGCCTAAAAATCAAATTTTCAAATTTTTGCGACAGAATCCTAGAATGAGTAGTTACAGTATACATTTTTAATGCTTTTGGACACGAAGGGAAACACACAACGTAAGGCTTGAAATCTTCGTAAAACTACATCATTAGAGCCTGTAAAAACATTTAACTTTAAGATAACCACTCTATCAAGTAAACTTAATACATTTAATCATCATAGTTTATTAACTCAAACGTAAAAATTGTAACAAAGGCAAAATTTAATCAGTCAAAATTCGTAGCATGTAAGTAATTATGGATGGGGTACAACTCCACTCGAAAATTATAGTATACTATGGAACAAACTAAACACTTTAAATAGTAATATAAAGCTGATAAGCAGTGACTGGAACTACGTATCAAACAAAAATGCACTAATCGGTCTTAAAACTGCTGTCTCCCATTACTGTACAGTATAAATTATACTATCCGTAAAGTTACAGGTTTCAAATATGAAACACGGCGGTGGTATAATACCCAACTTATGTAAACTGACTTTTGCCCCCCTCCCCACCCCTAGAACTAAAAGTTTCTAAAATTTTATTTAAAGTAAGGTGTTCATTGCTCAGCTTATATCTTTTAAAGGTCTCCGAAGAATCAAACATTGATTGTTCCTTGAGCTTGACAGTTGACTGGGCTGCTGTTGCTGCAGTCACGTGTCCTCCGTAGTCACGTGTCCTCCGTAGTCACGTGTCCTCCGTAGTCACGTGTCCTCCGTAGTCACGTGTCCTCCGTAGTCACGAGTCCTCCGTAGTCACGTGTCCTCCGTAGTCACGTGTCCTCCGTAGTCACGTGTCCTCCGTAGTCACGTGTCCTCCGTAGTCACGTGTCCTCCGTAGTCACGTGTCCTCCGTAGTCACGTGTCCTCCGTAGTCACGTGTCCTCCGTAGTCACGTGTCCTCCGTAGTCACGTGTCCTCCGTAGTCACGTGTCCTCCGTACTTCTTTCTCTGTTTTGTTAGCTCTCCGTATCACTCTCGCATGGTGAGTCATCACGATTCACCAAGTGAGTGTCTCTGAAATGCTCGTTTATCCCCCTAGTCCAGTCAACTCCTTCAAACTGTGCTGAAAGTTAGGTTATTGTTATTTATAGGTTGTTAAAACTCAACCTTGTACGTACAATAATATAAGCTAATAATGATGTGATGATTATTTTATCCGTGCTAGTTAACCTGGTTTTTGGGTACCGGGCCATCCTGGTTACTCTGCTTTGGGCCGTTCCCCTGGCTTACCCTGCAGTTCCACGGCTCAGTTTTGCAACCAGATTTGCTCACATTTTTTCTCACATTTTTGCGACCGGAAATGAAATTCAAAAATATTTCTCCGCACGGAGAAATATTTTTGATATGACCCAAAACTCCGTGAAAGCAGTTTTAACCTGGGCGCTCGCGTGGGACATTTCATTATGATGCGCCCACGCGCGCGTGCAAATACCAACCGTGGAAACGTACATTGTAAACAAAACTGCTTTCGCGGAGTTTTGCTTTTCAAAACTCATTGCGCGGAGTTTTGTGTCAAATCTGGTCGCAAAACTGAGCCGTGGAACTGGGCTGTAATACAGGTCTAGTTTACCCATATTATATAATATAATGAAGTGATGAGTGGATTGCTAGAGTAAGAATGAGGAAATCTTGAAAATTGACATTTAACTGTAGCGTGATATTACGTACCAAGTGAAGATATTGGTAAACCTTATTGTTTGATAGAATCATTAACTTTTTTTAAATCATTAATTTTTTATATTAATAAAAAGATGCCTCGGGTGCACGTGCCTATTTTACAGTTTCATATAACTTACTAAGCATTGGAAATGTGATTTGCTCGAAGACGTCGCACACAGGTTCTTGATGGTACTGACGGAAATGTTCAACTACACCTTCAGTTATGTTCAAACCAACAAACTTCCCTGAAAAACTCATATTTAATTAACTTGAACTGAGTATGTCAACATGCTCCAAGTGAACGATAAGTTAATACAGTTTACATTGACATCATAAGTGATTGCACAATACAAAAGTAAAGAGTGTAATTAATGATGAAAGTAGTTTACACTTACCCAACATTCCCCAACTGGTAGAGAGTAGCTTGAACGATTCCTCCGTGAGCACCTTGTTGAAATAGGTTGAGGTGTATAGGACATCCCATCTGGTGATGTTGTGGAATGTCCTGGCGTCATCCAGCTGGGTCAGTGTGCTTGTAAGGGAGGTTGAGCAGGTATCCAGCTTCTCTCCTGTCTTGTTGTGCTGGGCCGTCTCTGTCTGCAGCTCACGCTCCGTTCTTTCGAGTTCTCCTTTAACTGTCCCTAACTCCTCCTGGGTGGAATTCAGGTCCTCCTGGGTGGAATTCAGATGACCCCTCACTGTCCCTAACTCCTCCTGGGTGGAATTCAGATAATCCTTCACTGTCTCTAACTCCTCCTGGGTAGAATTCAGATGATCTTTCACTGTCCCTAACTCCTCCTGGGTGGTATTCAGGTCCTCCTTGGTGGAACTCAGATGACCCTTCACTGTCCCTAGCTCTTCAAGAGTTGTATTCAGTTGTCCACTAATATTAACCAGCTTCTCTTTAGACACTTTCAACCGAGAATCTAGTTCCTTCTTCCATTGACACATCTTGAACTCACTCATAGATCCGATCAAAACCTCACTCACAGATCCGCTTCTCGACTGAGACATAATGTGTTCCCATTTCAGAACCCTAGTTTCAGCAAATTCTGTAAGGTCAAAACAGAGTCCACCTTCCGCTATTTTCTTAACCTCAGTCGAGCTTAAGGCTTGGGAATAGACATTAAACTGGTAAAGTTGGCCTCCGAAAATGTAGCCAGAACTAGTACTGTAAGAGAGTCGGTTAAAGAATAGTGTACCTCCCATTTTCAGTGTTCTTCCAGAGACTGTCGTACCTGTGCCTACTAAAGAACCATCAATATACAGCTTAATGCTCCTCGAGGCTAGTGACCAAGTAATACAGTAACTAAACCAGCTGCCTACAGGCTTTGTTACCGCACTCCGCATGTTTCCACTCACAGCTCCACCTGCTATATGTTTGTGAATCCCAGTAGCATCTAACACGATCTCATTGTCCGGCGTGCTTGACTCATAGTCAAACAGTACCGGGTAGGAGGAGGAGGTATATATACGTTTGGCCCAAGTGCAGATCGAAAAGGAGTCTTGGAAGGGGGCCATGTTAAACTTGAATCCAATGTTGTCATTTGCGGAAGTTCCAAAATGAAGAGCAGTGTACTGCTCATCATCAGAGGCAACAGTAGGTAGGATGATGACGACGATTAACAAGAGGAACATAACGGTGGTTTGCGAGCGAGAAATGAATTTCTTATTATCTAATCAGGGTATTCGGAGGCGTCACGCAAAATTTGGGACTTTCAGGGGAATTACTCTTAACTCGAACTTACTTAGAACCGCAAAGGTTTTAAATGCTAGATAACATAATTGAGTGGCACGCCATGCCACATAGCCTGAAATTCTCGAACTTTGTTCCCTTAATATTGAACTGCTGCTCCTAATTTCTAGATAAAATTATGTTCTTAGACTGTCCTTATCAAAAAAAACTAATTACAATCGCCATTTTAATCTAGTTCCAATTCACTTGCCGGCTAACTGTTTAAAAAATCAACCGCCCGGTGGTCGTATTTGCAAATTTTATTCTTTTTATCTGGTGAAAAATAATTGCTTAGGCTATCACCAGTCGAAGTCGAGTAAGTCGATTAAGTCACCTCAGACCAGTATCCAAGAAGCCCTGCCAGTCCACAAAGAATGCCGTGTGAACCCTGACCCTAACCCTAAACATGATTCTGTTGGTGATATGTCCTGATATGGTCGTTTATTGTAGAATTTGTACCGTTCTAACTTATATTCTGTCCCGTACTCCAAAATTGTGATTGGAATTGTGAAAATATCAAAATTCATGTTGCGCCTTAATATACGCAGCACAGTATAATGTTCATATCCACTAATCAATTATAAATTCCAACTATGTTCGTTATTTCCACTGGGATCTTCATACTTACGCTTAATATTAATATAATATAACAAACTAGAAACCCGCTAGTCGAAAGCTTTGTAGGAGGAAATTTTATAAAGTAACGCGAGCTGAAATTGGTCAGAACGAAGAGTCGGTTTTTGGTCAATTTTCAGTGTTTTTACGACTATGTCCCCGTTGCCGGGGAGATTTCGTCAAGTTTAAAATATAATATAGATGAACAATGTCAAGAGCTAGAGATACGGATTACATTGGTAGTTTCACAATACCGCTCATGCTTTGCAATGTAAGTGAGTGTGGGTGTGACATTTAGGATACTGATAAAGAGGTGAGTAGGTACACATATTTCCTCAAAATTCTTTTGAATATTGGTCTTGACATTCCAGAAGCTCTGTGGTATGTCATGTTGTTTCATGCTGCCATTTTTGGGTCCATATTCCATGTATCAATGGCATGAAAATGTGAGTGTGACGCAATTTTGGATAGTGTCCGATTGAATTCAATCCAAGGTACTCAGAAGAGAGCTTCTTATTGTAGACGGGTTGTTGATAGTTTGGACAGGTTGTAGATGTGTCTGACAGCTGTTTGACAGGTCCCTGTTTGATCCGAGGTGATTATTATATACTACTGCTGACAGATTGAAAAATGAAAGCATTTTTAAACCCGTCCACTTCAGAAATTTAAGCTGTATATTAGGACGCAATAAAACTACCGGACCACGATGTATGGGGACCCGCCACCCCATGTCGAATCTGTTACATCATTTCCTCAAATTATTTGTTATATAGTAGTGTTGAAAGTACACATTAAAAAAGTATATAACAGCACATTGTACTGAATTCAAGCCTGTGTCCCAATATTAAAGTTTGGACAATATAATACACAGATAAATTCTGCAATATGGTTACTGTATGATTAGACACCATTTAAAATATAACTCCACTTTTGACCTATTTGACGGCCACTTATTTTTTTCATAATCGCACCGGTTAATTTTTCAGGGAGTGCGATTACAAAACTAATCGCACTGTTTTGAGAGAAATCGAAAACATATTCAGTGCGATTACAAAACTAATCGCACTGATTTTTTGAAAGATACTGTAATATCGTGTTCCGCAATTTCCTGTCCATACGCTAACATAAGTTTACAGTATATTAGTTGCACTAGCGTAATAATAAGTTAATATTATAGCTCAATAGTATAGTGTAAATAAAGAGCCACACGCTGAGGCTACGAGGGCGGTTATCCGTTGAAATGTTAAGTTCGCGTGACCACCGCGTGTGAGTCACAATTGAAGAAGCAAGTGACTTGCCAACGTATTCAATACTCTGAGACCCTATGGGCCATGAGGCTTAGTGTGACCAACCGCTTCTTTGGTTTTGTTACGGGGCCGGTATGGCAGTTGCTTGTATGTTCTCATGTTGTGGTTCAAATCCAATTCCTGCTGAATCCCAAACAGTGCAGATCAAGGTCATCGTTAACAGTCTAGTTGTACTAGATTACTGTAACGGTACTTCACAGGTAGTGCGATTATAATCTAATCGCACTGTTTTGTCAGTTGCTCACAAAAGAGTGTGAATAGTTCACACTCTGGCTCCATAATATGAAGGACTTAATTCTAAATGAAAACCTCGAATATCCAGTGCGATTATTAACTAATAGCACTGATCATAACACCAAAAGCGTGGAGTTATACGCTAATCTAACTGCATGTATAATACCATTACACCAGATATTGCACTCAGTTGCGCCTCGTGAAATAACTGCAATAATCGAACTCGGCTTCGCCTCGTGCGATAACTGTATCAATTTGTACTCTGCTGCGCCTCGTGCAATTAATAGTGTAATCGAATTGTACGCAGTTAGATTAGAGTATTATATAATACAGTCAACAAATTATAATAGTAAAATTGTGAGTAAAATCGTAAAAAGGGTAAAAACACTTATTAGATGAAATAGCATAGTGAAGGTGCAACAAATGTTACGAAACACAAATTTCCAAGAGTGTCTGCTTTCCAACTGTTGGTCTCCTTTAATATGAACTTTTCTACCCCTTCTTCCGATCTAATCCAGTATATGACCCAAGATAGCGATGGTGTTCAGTGGTTGTTATATGTATATCTGGAAATAGTTCCTTAGCTTTGGTAGCATGCTCTGGTTTTTACAATAAACCATGTTTTGTTGGGTTTAGGGTAATACCCATACATGGGGCCATGATCGTTCAGGACCACCCACCATTTCACAAATTGTTCGAGTTTATCCCCTACTGCAGAGTCATCTGCATACCAAAGCCTGTCTGTGATATGTGTTTAGTTCCCTTTCTGATTCTGTGTCTGGTTCTGTCTGTTTTACCAACAATCCTCCCCTGTATCCATCAACGCGAACGTGTTGGTTATTTTGTTTATGTCGTAAGTCCAAGATTCAAGTCCAGGCATATTTCAATGCATCTTATATCATAATTATTTTCCACCGAAGGAACCTGAAGCTGCAAAAAGAGAAGATTTTACTGAAACGGAAGATACTGGCCGTTGAGCGGGAAAATAACAGCCTTAAAGATGAAATCGGAGGACTGGAGAAACAGCCACTTGCTAATTCCGCACAAGCTCAGCTCAGAGCGCCCCATTCAGGTAAAAGTTTAAAAGGAGACTTGTTTGGGCAGTTTTTGGCGGTTTCGATTTCCCCTCTATTTTGGTAGTCTACTCTGAAGTTTGGAGTAAACTGCCGACTGAGCCGTCGCCAGATATTGCTAGTTTTTGGTACTTTGGTGTATCGCAACGCTCTTCGCCTTCGCGCGTGATCGATCGTCGTGACGCGCGCGCGCGCTCGCGCGCTTTATACATCGATCGAATTTAGCTAAGTAAAATCAGATAGCCATTATTTCGAAACTTTATTAACAGTCTTAGCTTACTGATTATTATTACGAAATTATTATATTCCTTGCTCAACTGTCATATCTTAATTTCATTGTTACATCATACTATATAATTGTTTAGAATATCTTGATCAATGAAATTTCACGATAACCGTGCAATCATTGCTTTGTGCCAATATTCAACAGCTGCACAATTAATGAAAGACTTAAATTGTACAGAAAACCTTACTGAAAACTTTGCAGTAACAGGTGTAAGGGTACCATCAGCACAGCTCCCCCTACGACTTAACAACAGCTATAACAATTTACACAGGTACACTAACAAATACGTCCGTGACATTTTGATATGTATACTCTTGTTGAAGTTCCTGTAATGATTTGATTGGTTTTTATTCACTCTTAGACATTTGTACTTCAAAAAGCATGTTAAAATCATTCCCTTAACACACATGATATTATACGAAACCCACAAATATTATGGTTATTGACTGGTTTGTTATTTCAGACAGCATCAAGCAGCTAAAGCTGCCCAAGTACAACTACAGCAGCAGCAAGTTGCCCAGCAACAACAGGCAGCCCAGCAGCAGCAGCAGAATCCCCATCTCAGACCTAACCCCGCCGCACAGAATATGATAAACAAACATTTTCAGCAAAACTCTCACTCACAGCAAGGTACCTGGTTATTTATATTTCCATCAACACGATTACATTTCTTTGGGTGTCCAAATATACTGTCAAAGTACAACTGAAAGTAAGCAAAGAAATTAATTTCAGTGTCTCGATACCAGAACCCAGCCGCAGCTGCACTTGCACATCGACTACAGAACCCACATTGGCCCGCTCCAAACAGGCAGTACCAACCCCAACACATACAGAAACCTCTCAACCATCTCCCCAACACGTCTTCCTACTACACTCCCCAGCAACAAGCGGCCCAAAACGCCGCCGGTCAACATGCTGTCGGTCAGCTGCAGCAACAAGCAGCAACTCAACAACACACCCCTGCACCCGTCCCCCAACCCTCGCCCTCCCCACACTTGGTGCAGCACCACACTCAGGTCCAGCAGCAACCAGCTCATCAACCAGCTCATCAACCAGCTCATCAACCAGCCCACCAACCAGTCCACCAACCAGCTCATCAACCAGCTCATCAACCAGCTCACCAACCAGCTCACCAAGTAAACCGTCTACAACACGTGTCAGCTGCAGTCCCACAGCGACATCCAAATCCAGGGTCCTCTAACCACGCTACACTGGCGGCTGTGAACAAGATCCTAAATGGGAGCAGTCTCTCAGGAATAGCCACCAGTCTCTCAGCTGCAGTTACTAACTTATCCAGCGCCCACAACACCCTCGTCAATAACCACGCTGGCATGCACGGCAGCCAGGCCCGGCTTGTTCAGGCTCGGCCCATGTCCCAGCAGCAAACCCCGACTAACACTGTGAACTCAGTTAACACAGTTAACACTACGAACAATGCTAACTCTGCTAACACAGTTGAGGTTAACTTGGTGAAAAGTTTATCTAACCAGGGATTACATCCTCGTGTTAACGAACAACAAATTAACGATCTCATCAAATCAGCTCTTCAGAAAGGTTTGTTTAGGTCCTTAATGTTTACCTAATTTACTTGCAAACGTCGACCATTATCAACAAATAAAATTACGATACCAAGGTTTTTGTCCAAGTTCTGACTAGAAATAATACCCAGGATTTTCAGGAGGTTACGAAAACTTGTTGGCACAGATGCAGGTAATGGCTCGTACTTCTTCCAGCACACCCACCCCAATTCCCACCACGGAGGCTGTGTCAAGTAGCAGTCTGGAAACTAGTTCCGCTTCTGCTACCGCTGACATCTCACCTACCACCGCTGGTAGGTCTATTTCAAGTGCTTGAGTACTTTTAATTTTGATACAATTAGTTGGGCGGAACTTTCAGGGGCTAGGTGGGATAGTGGTTAGAGCATCCGCCTTCTGCGCAGAAGGTTTAAGGTTCGAATCCCAGTGTCACCTAGTCTAGGCCCTAGGGAATAGCTAAAGATCCATTGGATCTATGCGATCTCCTCGGTCGACTCAGCCGAATGATAGGAAACTTGATTGAATGAGGAGGGCCAGGGGAACCTGTTAAAATTTCAAAAAACTTCCTAGGAGCCACCTTCAGTACATACTGTAAACATAGTGCTATTAACTATTAACTATTCAGAAACTAAATATCACTTATTCAACCCAAAAAATCTAAAAAGCTTAATCCAATATATTAGAAATCAGTGTTAATGAATTATAAAAGTCTATTTGGACGTGTGTGATTTTACCTCAACTATTCTACTAACTGGGTACCAGGGATTAATACCCGCTCTTATCACAAAAACCATTGTAGAAATAGCGTCCCAGTTTCACAAAAAATGACCGAATAGCAGCCCGTGTTTTTTCAGGAGTTGCCAGCATGGAAGTTGTTGAGTCAAGTGCAGGAGCTTTAGGAACATGTAGTACAGTACAGATCAGTGGAGCTAACGAAGATGTGGAGGTAGATATCGGTATCCCTGACAACGACCAAACTGTTAGTTGCAGAACTCTTGATCTAGTACATTTGATGACTAAACTAGACACTTCAGCAGCATGAAACTAATTTTTTACAAGCGCTCGCGCTCAGATTTCTTAAACATAATCGCTCCGTCGGTTCATGGGATGTGACATTACCCTTATGACATGTTTCAGGCAATGGATTACTCCGCCAGTTTCACCAACCACCACACCACAAACGACGATCTGGAAACCTTTACAGAGCTCTTCGCCATGTCTGACGACCCGCTCAACGTGACGTCACCCACCATGGAGATGCCGAACGGTAACTTGGCGTCAGCTGAACATGGCGCTACGTCAGAGACGGTTCAGCCAGCCTTCGATTTAAATAAGCTTGATAACGCTACATTGGAACAGCTGATCAGCTCCGTGTGCTCCCTTTGCTCCGGCGACTCAACGGTAATTCTTACTTTTCTTTAATTCTTGGCAACTTTTTTCTTGCGTTTCCGACTACGATTAGTCTTATTTAACAATTGTACTAAACTTAACCATGATATTCTGTTTTTCTGATGAATTTATTGTAAAGGTTTTCACTATTTTAAAACCCAAATATCTACTAAAACACTACCACATCAGCAAAACAAGACTGGGGTACGAGAAGAACTGTTGACTTGTTGTGACTGCAGCAATAGCGGTAAGATTTGATAGATCTGAAGAGGCACTCATTTTAATTTGTTTTTTAAATGAAACAGCTATGGATGCTTTCAATGTAGAGAATATAGGCTCTTTTAAAAACTTTGATGCAGAGTCAGTTGCGAATGACTGGGCAACATTTCCACTTATCACACCTGTATCTAACACCATACCAACAGGACACCCCAGTTGTTTACAATTCTCCGCGGAATTAACAGAAAAAGTGAAGACCTACTCGTGGCAGTGTATCGAGTGTAAAACGTGTGTGCTGTGTGGCCAGCTGGGGGACGATAACAAGCTAATGTTCTGTGATGAGTGTGACAAGGGTTTCCATACTGACTGTTTGTCACCTGCATTGTCGGAGGTACCTGAGGGTGAGTCTCTTCTTTTAGATTATTACTCTCTGAGAATCTTGTTATAACCTCAGTAACATAACCAGAGTTTATTTAATTTTTATTTGACGTATTATAATAGCTAACATGCACATTATGCATGTTGGTCCTTTGTGTTGTTTAGTTGTAACATTCCAGTCTATCTTAAAAATGAAAACAAATGATAGATGATCTAGAGTAGAACTAATTAACTAACCACAACGCGCACGCAGATACCTAACTTGTTTAATTTTTATTCTCTAAAATAGTTTATGATTGTTTATCCTCTAAAATAGTTTATAAAAATGTTTACCCCTCTGAAATAGTTTATATAAAAACCAACCCCTCAGGTAATTGGTCATGTGTGTTCTGCAAAGGTATAAGTGTACCCTCAGCGGGCATCATCGCCAGATCCAGTTCAAACTCACGAGATATTCTTCTACAGAAAGCTAACAAAGTTATTAATAATGGTGAGTTCGTATTTATGTAATTTCCGGATCGGAACAGTGTTTATTAGCTGATTAGTCACATAGTTAATTAGTTACTGTTGGTTGTTCGAAATATATTGTTTTCACAAAGGAAACTGCTCTCTTTAATAGTAAATAGTCGATGTTTCTATATAACATAATATTCATGCTCTCAAATTGAAGTAGTAGTTAGTTTCATTGAAACGTCGACTATGTATTATTGAACTTCGCTAAAAAGAGCTGTTTTCTTTGTTGCAACAGCGTGAATAATAGAAACTTCTAACGACCCCATATTTAGTTCGTATAAACATGCTAATTATCTTCTGAGAACTATATTGAAGTCTATCAAACATATTAATTGCAAATCACATATCCTAGCACCACATTCCAGCTATCCTAACACCACATTTCACTAGCGTCCACAGACAAGGGTCCAGCCGAGATGATGCAGAAAACAGAAGAGATTATAGCGTCCCTGCTAGCTACAGGTCGCAAGAGAGCAAAGTCCAGTGATAACGACAAAGATGCACCCTCTTCTAAACGTGTTCTCCATGACATGTGATCAGATGCCATTCATTAGTTAATTAATTATTTAATTAACTGGTTGATTATTCGAACGAGAGAAAGTGGTTGAGAAATTGAGTGTTCCGCCGAGAAGTGGCGTGTTCTGCAGATGATGTATTTAGTTTTGAGGACGTTTAAATTGTTTAATAGTTGCAGTATGATGAATATATAATAGAGATAAACAATGTAAAGCATGATGTGCCACCATTTACAACTACCGAACTAGTTTGCAGTGGCAAGATTCCATATAGTTAGAACCGTCCTAACTTTTTGATAAATTTATTCCTTCTAAAACTTTTCATAGGGTTAAATGAGTGATGTTTCTGACGGTTCATATTTTGTTATAGATATTACGATTTTTATTTGTTGTTACAAATTTAAATTTACGAAATAGAAATTAAGGCTATGTAATTCTTTTCATCGTATTTCGGTTGAAATTAGGATAAGATTATGGCTTAAAAATTCGCGGACTCATGAATATTTCTTCTCTTTCGACTTAAATCTTATGAACAGATAACTTAATTTTACTGATAAACTTAAAGATTTGCACATTGTTATTTAATTCAGGTAAGAATTTTCTATCAGAGATGCGTTAAATTATCAGATTAGTCTATACAACTGGTTTTCAAATTTAAACTATTTGTCGATGATCATCCTTGAAATAAAATTTTATTGACTCCGCTATTACAAAATTCGGCGTATTAAGAAAAAGTTATAGTTTGTTAATCTAACAATGGGTCAACTTATTTATTTTTCCTCACTTTCCCTATTAAATAAGTTATAAGCCTAGTTATAGTACAGTAGACTTTTCCTATATTCAATGGTACTGATAGAGTAATGATAGGTTTATTTATCTGTCAGTGAAATGTTTGGTGAAGGGTAGAATATCTCCCAACTTTTAGTAGTGAGCAATCTGTAGCCGAGAGAAATAATTACATTTTTGAGATGCCAATATGATACATATCGCGACATGGTGATTTACTTTAGTCATATTAGTCATGATGTGAATCAGTAATATTTGATGGTATTAAGAAGCTATGAAGTGTAAATTTAGATACTTTGTGACCAATTGATATTGTATTTGTGCTCTTCTGAATTAATTACAAATATTTTATGATGCCCGTTGTAACCTATACAGTATACATTGATCACTAATAAATTGTTTTCTCACTTTATGAACACACAGCGACCAGATATTTAAATTAATGAGCATTAAAGGGCGCAAAGCTCACATTAATTATTCGATTGAATTAGATTACTCTCGCCACTGGAAACGGCAGTATTACAATTGAAACGCATCAAGTAAGTGTTGCAACTGGGGAGATAATACATAGTTGACAATAAAACATTAACCACTAGTTCAAAGATACGACGTGGAAATTAAAACCACATATGAAGCTCAATGCAGTCCCCTCAACAGATAAAGAAATGCACAAAAAACTTCGGGATTATAATTTTCCGAGCAGAAACAGTTCATAAGTCCAGCTAACCCATCTAGGAATATATCTTTCGTGTCCTCGGAATTCTTCGACTTATACTCTACCGTTCTTTTTCTTCTTCTTTTTCTTCTGCTTCTGCTTCTCCTCTTTCTCCACTTCCTTTTCCTCCTCCTCATGATCATGTCCGTCACCATCAAAGTGTTCGTCGTCCTCAGCACTGTGATCATGTCCGTCACCATCAAAGTGTCCATCCTCCTCGGCACTGTGATCATGTCCGTCATCATCAAAGTGTTCGTCCTCCTCAGCACTGTGATCATGTCCGTCATCATCAAAGTGTCCATCCTCATCAGGACACGCGCATCTGGAGAGAATATCCTTTTCACCCCAGGCTCCAGCTTTACAGGTTAGAGACGGAGGACCCGTCATGGTGCAACCTTCCGAACATGACAGGGTTGCAACAGTGCCCTCGATCAGCTCACCGTCAGTACTGTACACTATCGTACCGTCTTTTACTTTGTACTTGATATCGAAACACGTTCCTGAAAGCGAATGGTTTTTTAAGTTGTTTGTCAAAGCTAAGGAGACTACATTGTATAATATATGTTGTGGGGGCTGCACTCCCAATTTATTAAATAATTGCCATTCTCTAATCTCTACCAACCAATTCCTGGTGTATCAAAGTACTTTAAACCGATACAAATATACTTATATTATGTACTTTAATGTAGAACTAGAAGTGCACATACTTGTTCGACTACAGAGTCCTCTAGCTTGGTATGTCTGTGAGTTCCTCATCGTCCAGTAACCGTCGTTCTTGTTCAACAAACCGTACTTGCCTTCACCCGTCTTCCGGGTGTAGTTAAAGTAGTTAACATGCCAGCACTTGTTGCTCCAGTGGTAGTGCCCACACTTCTCGGGGTCGCTGATGGATTGAATTGAATGACACGTTGGTGGAGGCCTTCTTCCGTAAAATTCCAAATGCAAGAATTTTGTGACTGGGATATTGGTAGTCCTTAGGGTTCTTAAACGTATTTCGTAAGCAGCCTAGAAGAGGCTGCTAATACTGTAATTTCTACACTGGATAGGGGCGTGAATAAACCGAAATATGTGAACGATTCCTTAATTTGTCAACAATGCATAATAATCAAAACAACACATTTATACCGTTAGATATGCTCATTTGGAAGACATGCAACAGTTAATCCTGATTTCTGCACTTACGTAACTCCGATATGGAGCAGATTGAATTTATCGTCAGACTTGACTCCAGGGAATCTTGCGTTTACCATGTTCACAACCTAATAGGAACAATTTGTTTAACTACTGCTTCCTCGCCCTAACACTTAATTAAAGTACCTTTTGTGGTTGTTCAGAGATGTTGTGATCACAACTGAACGGACGTAGGGTTGCATTTAAGAAGGGGTGACACCGTTTGTGAAAAGTGAAATTGACTGCCAAGCTGACTCTCAAAAACAAGTAGTAAGCTATCTATCATATTGTAACTGAGTATGGTCTATGTACATAGTACATTGTACAAGTACAGGTAACAAGTTCTAGAACTTACCTCGTTGTTATGCTGTACGGTGGGGATAACAGCCAGGTCCCAGCCGGTCTCAGTTTCTGTGTCCATGGCCTTGCAGGACGCCTGGCAAAGAGCTCGAGTCGTTGGTTTTCCGCCGCTACAGAATTCGTATTCCACCTCTGAAAACGTGGTGTGTTAAACCTAAGGTACCGTGTACAATGTAGACACCAGTGTATTAAGTTTAACATGTGTACCTAGCAACACAGTTACCAGTATACCAAGTACCTAGCAACACAGTTACTGGTGTACCTAGCAACACAGTTACCAGTGTACCAAGTACCTAGCAACACAGTTACCAGTGTACCTAGCAACACAGTTACCAGTGTAACTAGCAACACAGTTACCAGTGTAACTAGCAACACAGTTACCAGTGTAACTAGCAACACAGTTACAAGTGTACCAAATGCATAGCAACACAGTTACAAGTAAACCTAGCAACCAGTGTACCAAGTACCTAGCAATACAGTTACCAGTGTACCTAGCAACACAGTTACTGGTGTACCTAAGAACACAGTTACCAGTGTACCGTGTACCTAGCAACATAGTTACCAATGTACCAAGTACCTAGCAACACAGTTACTAGTGTACCGTGTACGTAGCATAAAAATGTACCTTGTCTCGGAGCTATAAGGACAGAGTAGGCGTTATCGAAGAGTCTGCAGGAATTCATGGTGGGTATTCCCTTTCTATCATAGTTTATGTATCCTAAGTCGCCCCACCATACTCCGTAACTGTAGATAAATGGCATTTGTTTTCAGTCGTCCTTTACACTTTAAGTGGTAGTGCCCACAAATTATTGAACAAATAGTTTCCAGTTTAGCAGGCATTTGTTAAGGTTGCAAAAGTTAGTAGCTAAAATTGTTTGAATAAGTTTTTCTATTTTTTAAAACTCTTAATAAAGTATAATAACCTAGGGTAGCCCCAACCATTAGAAGGGTTGTCGTGGTGATATGGAACAATTAAATCATAAATTAACGTACCTTCCTCGTACTCTGAGATATGTTTCAGTGTAACCAACGAGAAGCTGAGCGTGAGCCACAGGCTGTGATGCACACACAGGATCATCGTACAATCCTATCAAAATATGGGATGCTAGAAGTTCAAGTATACTTTAATATTGTATCGATATTATTGCATAGCTATTGTATTAGCTATATAATATTAATATAGTAGTTAGAAATAACATGTTACCTGCATCAAGAGGCGATAATTCCTAATTTTATGAAACTAGTTATAATTATTCTGCGTAATTAACTCGAATAATTGTAAATTGCCCCTCAAAGCTTTTACAATTACATGTAAGTACTAAGTTCTTAATGATCAAGAATCAGTGACAAAATCAACCAACCATGGGTGTAGCCAAAGTAGTTATCGCTGATATACCCTCCAAAAGCAACCGGGCTGTGTCGGAGTCCCCTCATCAATCCGTCCGCGGTTTTGCTCAGGGGATACCAGTCCTGTAAATATGCGTTCTTGAAGGCGTTCCTCTTTTTATTGCGGATATCCATTGTCCATTTGCACGGCTGATCTGAAATGAGGTCGTTCATTGTTTACGCTATTTAAAATGCAAATATGGTCTTGAGTTTAGTATATATATACATATATATATATATAGCTTAAAGTTAATATTAATCTAGAGTTGTTAACCTTGAAGATGAACCGGCTGTAAGCAGCATTATATCCTGATGTTCATACTTATTAAGTTGGTTTATAGCTGTAGCTGTATGAAACATCTAAAACTAGACTGTCAGGACGAGGAATCTTGCCCGGGTTCAGTCCTAAAGTCATTAAAGGGCTTGAAATATGAAACGGTTTTTTAAAAGTATCTTACAGTCAGCAGTGAGCGGCCAATCCCCCTCACTCATGAGGTACTGGCGATCTTTGGTGATCTTGTAGCCCTGATTAACAGTACCACCTGCACACCCGCTGTACGAAAAGGTGCAGTCAATGAAGTACTGCTTCGAGTAGACGACAAATTCTCCTGTCAGCTTGTAGTACAGTGCCTCCAAAGTTGCTGCCTGAAATTGATCGGTTATTGTATTAATATCTTATCTCATTTTAAGATTCAACAGTTAACCAGCGTTACTGGCGTTGCTAAATAATATGTTTGTATGAAAATTAAACAAATACGGTACTTATAAGGTGTTCAAGACTCGATCGTGTCCAAATTTGAAATTATAATTTTTCTATTTTATACTAATGTTGTACACTAAGACTTACAGCGGGGAAGGACCAGCAACTTCCGCAACTGGCTTGATCCTGCGGTCTAGACATTCCCAGAGTTTTCTCCCAGTACTGGTATTCCTTTGGCCCTTCACCCGGATTCCAATTTACTTCCTCCGGACTAGGATAGTCTCTTTTGTCCAGATCCAGGGTAAGGCCTTCCATCCTTTTCATTTTGTGGTTGTCTTCGGCGGAGCGTTCGTTCACCAATAGGGTCAAGTTACCATTTCGTCGAGTACGAGACACAAGTTCTTCGTGCTCCTCGTCATTCTGGACAGAAGGGTAATCGTTTAGCGGATGGGAGTGTTTATACTTAAGATCGCAAAAAATTCAGCGGATTCGAATTTTGAGTTATTTGATCTAACAAATTTTAAGTTATAATACTAACGACTAATACACGATGACTTATTATTTAAATTATGTATCAACATGTACATGTAAATTACAATTTAAATAGTCATTATATCCTATTGGCGATATCGAAGTAATTTTAATTTGTTAGTTCCTCTAAATTACTAATGTTGTTGAGGCCGATGACATAATTTTATTACTGAACAGCAATTTAATGGTGAATCAACAGTTCTAACTTTAGAACAGAAATTTAATCAATTACATACATTGACAGCAAATCGGTTGAGAGCATCGAGCATAACTCCAGTTGAGGTCTCGTCATGACCCCTCTTCATTCGAACAAGTCGATTGTATCTCTCACTGGAGATTTTTAGTTTAGTACATTGTCATTGATTTATCAAATTATAAACCCTTGAATCATAAACCCTTGAATCATAAACCCTTGAATCCGGAGCTAACGAAACAAACAACAACTGAACAGTGGACTGGTTTTTTAACCTGTGGTCTCGTTTGTCTCTAATTTGTACGCCCCACTTTTTTATCGTGTTCTTGAAGAGCAGGTTGGTGTCGTCAATGGTGCTTTTTGAGAGAGCCAGGGCTAGAACAGCCCCCACCAGTACTACAAACCGGTGCATCCTCTAGTGGAAAAAAGGTTAAATGTTATATTATAAAATCTAAGCAAGATCTACTGTGGTTTTTATCAAATTTTGAGGAAAATATAATAATGCTAGATAGTCTATATTGCGGTTAAACTTAAATTTAAAATAATAATAGTTAATACTAGCAAACTAAACGAAATGGAGATTAAGCCTCTATTTCGATATATAACCCGGATTGCTTTTAAAGTTAAACGTAAGCAGTAAGCTCAATGTAGACTGAATTAAAACGGGGAACAATGATAAACACCTCTACTGGCCAGTGAACCGTAGTCTATTTGATATAAAAGCCCTTGAAACGAACCCATTCTAATGCCTAAATAGTCAAGTTCATTATAAAACCTTTGCATAAATTAAAAAGTAATAAAAAGGGACACCTCAGCTTGAAATTTACTATTTCATATAACATGAATTGAACTTGAAGTTCAACCTGACCGCCCTTTGTAGTCACTTTAAAACATACATTTAAACGTCTATCTATTATCAATCATGGACAAGGCTATTAATATTATGGACAATTGAGTAGTGACGTTATAACAGCTTATAAATTATAAGCACCACCAATCTTTATCTAAGGTAAAATATTGTAAACGCACAATTTAAACTTAAAGTCACATGAGTGGCTAATAGCTGCAGTGGCATACCTACGTCAGCTTCCAGCTTTGAAAGAGCCTTTTGAGTTTTGAATATACTGCTGCGGATAAATATAATGAATAAGCTTAAGCATAATATGCCGGATATGCTGCATATCCGGCTGCTACTTTAGTCTTATAGCTCTAAAGTTGTCCAAACAATATGTAAATATTCATAATCATGCCGAAGTAAGTTATACTGCCTTGCTGGTCCCTTTTCATCGTTGAAACTATTCATTTTTAGAACAAAGGCCATACGAGGGCCGAACATGTCGTGAATGATAATGATAATGGTTTGTTGCCATCAGTACCGCGGTGGAAACGTTTCATTGTCAAGTGTATCACAATATCTTATAGCCCTATGGCCTTTAAGTATAATAGCCATATTACGTACGCCTTAGAGAGACAACATATAGAACAACAAGGTACGGTAATATTTTGCAAATAGTGCGATCCTGCGACTTATTAAAATTGTTTAATGTGCTGCAATTTAGAGGGGAAAACTACCTCCATTAAGCTGAGAGTGAGCAATTCGCCAAATTTTCAGTCTTTAGGTTGGATTATTCAGCAGCGTAGTAATAATATATAACGTTGGCGTTAAATTACACGGTTGTCGAGTTTAACACAACAAGTAACTTACAAGGTTAATGTCCCACACAGAGTTTCCTGACGATTTCAAATTTTTAATTCTAGAATTACCCTCGTAGAGGTTTTTACAATTACATGGGTCAGAATGAGCTGGTGCATAATTCGGCAGAGTATTCGATATTATATTAATTATTTATTATGCAACAATAACATTATATTCCAACACATTGCGTGTATAGACAATCATGCTTGCAAACTATAATATGGTATTGTGACTAAAGTAACTCAATTTCAATCTGTTAGTGTTAAGGGATTCATGTGATTCAGCTCGACGAGTGAATCGTTTGCCATAAGATTCACCCTTTTTCGATTTTTACCAAAAGAGAGTGAATCTAATTCAACGTTCTAATTCTATACTGAATAGAAGGCAGTAGCAGAAATACCGAAGCAATATTGCAGCCAACTCATGGAGAAAATTGAAACATTGAAACGCTTTATATAAGGGACTGTAACGAGGGCATGTTTTAACATTTAATTTTGACTGGTTGACATCAGGCGTTCTAATTGACTTAATTAAGGACTATAATTTAAGAATATAAACTGAAATAGCTGGAAAGAGAACGTTGCAGCACCCCCTCGATACCCAGCTGCAAATGTTGAGCTTTTTCATGGACCAATTGACGAGTATAAACTTATATGATGTATGGTACTTAACCAGTGAACACGCCCAAACCTTATATATTTAACAACAATTATTAATTAATTATTTTACAGAGGGGTGTTAATGGTGATAAACTTGTCACTTATAGTTTAGGGTTGACATGTGCTCAAATTATAGCCTGAACCACATCAATTACCGTCTTTGAAGGGCAACGGAACTTGCCTCAAAACTGCAATTACAATTAATGATAATTGACATTTTCTGACAACTATTATCATCTTTTAGAATAATGATATGTTTAATGTTGTGAGGTAGGTTGCTAATAAACTCAGAAAATGGGTTTCAGTAGCATCAGACTCAGAAAATGGGTTTCAGTAGCATCAGACTCAGAAAATGGGTTCCAGTAGCATCAGATTCAGGGTAAATACCAGCCGTCTACTGCGATATAGTTTTATAGCCAGGCAGAAGATTGAAGTCAGAATTGAAGTCTAAAGATCCCGGGATCATAAAAACTAGAAATACACCTATCTTATTCTTAGTTCTTACCGAGCAGGAGCAAAAGTCACGACATTAATATCTTGATAGAAGAGTTGAGCAACGTTAAGACCTAACTAATGTCAAAAGTGAGTCGTAAGAATATTCCAACATGGCCAGCCCTTAAAAGTACGCCCAAGTCTTTAAGTTTGTCTGGATTTTGGGTGGAATATTATCACTGAACACCACTCGCCTTTGCTGCGAATATTTTAAACAAAGCTCCAATGATCAAACTGACGCACAGGCACAAAGGCACGTTTCTGTGAATTGTGCTGACGGTCAATCAATTTTTGTCATTAACTCCTGATAGAAAGAACTGCTAAAACTTAATTACGATTTAATTAACATTTAATTATAATCATTGTCAGCAGTTCGGTCTTAATTATTCAGAAAGAATAGTTTAAGTTTAACAGACACATCGTTAGTATAAAATATATGAGCTACATAATTGAATGAGCTCTCCAAAATTATGAGTTTGACTGAAGGGGTGCGGGCGGTACCTTTATAACTTAACCTTTTTCCGCTGTGTTCATACTTCATGTTGGATTGAAAACAATACTGGTTGCCCTAAGAGTAAGTCCGTCATATTATGACAATATAAATTGCCATAACGACTAAACGCTGGTCATTACAATGAGGCCTGTCGGTCGGGTTGGACGGTACAGTTTTCCTTCATAATGAAATGAAATGAGGTATTTATATCCCGCTCATATGATTAACCAACAACACAAGGAAGGTGTAGTGGTTAACCGTGTCAGAGCGGCTGACTGTGAGTGATGTGAGCAAATGTGTAAAAGTGAACTTAAGTATAACTCATCATAAGGCAAAGACAAAATAATAAGAAATAAAAGCCAGGGTGTCTTGCAAAGTGAAGACAAATGGAAAGAAGAAACATCAGGACTGATTATATAAATGGTTCTTTAACATTCGCTTGAAGCAGTTGGTATCAGTAATACATCTCAACATCAGTGGAAGAGAGTTCCATGCAATCGGTGCATGGCTTGAGAAACGTCTGTCATCAATTTTGGACCTTTTATTCTTTGGTACCTTGAGCATGAGATGGTCACCAGGTCTCTTCGACCTGGTCATGGTGTTTGAAAGTTATATATCCGCTACATCCACATCCAGTAGTGCTTTGAGGTAATCAGGTGCAGTATCGTGAACTGCTTTGTGGGTTAATAGACAAACGTTAAAGAAGATTCGTTGGTCTATAGGGAGTATGTGGGCCTTCTTATAGAAGGGAACCAAGTCTGTGGTTCTGTCTTCTATGTTATAGATGAAACGAACTGCCCCATAAAGGGTGGATCTAAGCTTGTTTAATCTGGTCTTGGGTAGATTCATGTATAGAGAATTACAGTAATCTAATATAGATATAACCAGTTGTTTCACCAACATCAATTTAATGCCTTCATCCAGGTAACGACCAATAGTTCTCAGGTTCATCATTGTCCAGCTACATTTCCTTTTGACATTATTGATCTGTCTTCCCATATTTAAAGTTTCATCAAATTTGACACCCAGGCTCTTCCAGCTATCTCCTTTGCACTCGGTAGGTAGAATTTCAGTGCTTCCAAATTGCAGTCTGACACTGAGTTCACACTATAATAAATAAACAATATAAAAATCACGTGACATCTAGTTCGGCACATGAGAAGAGCAGGCATGATTACGACTACGAGGCAGGCATGATCACGAGCCCAGGCCCAGTACAGGCATAATAAACACGTACAGGCATGATAAACACACGCACCTGAATTACGAGATCTTAAAATCATTGGAATTGAAATAAGGGGGCGCTTTTTCGGCGGAGGGGGGGGGGGGGGGGCAACATGCAACGTTACGCCACTGAATAAAGTGACTTGACCCCATGACATAGGGTTAAAATGCTCCCCTGACGAGATGTTGGCGAAAAGCTGTCTCGATCACGTGATATGACCGTATATTAAGGAAGTTGGTCTAATTTCTCGTTAGGGTTAGGATTTCAGCATATGCTTTTGTTAAAGATTGGGTTATGGTTATGGTTGGGATCTGATTAGAAATAGAGGTCTAGGATTTCGAATAGTCATTCAGGGCCAGCTAAAGAACGTGTTTAAAAAGTCCCGTGATAGTCGAGTGTAGAGTGATTATTCATTAATCATCCATGATAACGCAATACGGATAATTATAACAAAGTAACTATAACTTGATTAAAGGCCTTAATTAAAAATCAAATAATATTCACGGTTAGCATACAATCATTTAGTAGATCGGGAAGTAACAACATCAATAGGATGATTTTTCCCATTTTACAAATATTCTTACCCCACTCAATATATTTAACATCCGGCAAGAAAATCCGGCGTCCAAATTCGCTTTTTTCATGATGTGCCCACAAAATGCAAGAAAGCTTTAAGATATCGTTCACATATTATTACATAAACCAGCATAGGGGAGGCGATTTGATAAAGGTCACTAATTTTTAAATAATAACTGTGTTAAAGGACTTACGGCTTACGTAATATGGAACGACGTAACATGTAAGTACTACATAGCAATTTTAGATTTAAACGAAATATTGTCACTTTAAACATAGTAATGCATCAAGAGTAAAAATGAATATTGTTTATTATACTTATACTTTATTAAACTTATACTCGTAATTGTATGAGGATATCACCTTACCAAATGTTAGATCATATCTCCTTATTTTGAAATATCCATCTTTAGCTCTGCACTACCAATATCAAAACACATCGATGGTAAAGTTCAAAGCATCATTGGACATTGCTAAGTATTAAAAGAATAGTGAATATCGAAAAAGCCCCTTGGCCAACTTGTGGATATTTATTCACCCATTATTTTATGTCCATCATTTAAAAAATACTAAATCTGGTAACTTAGTTTATCTTCGGACGCTGTATAATCGCAAAATGATGGGTTGTAAGAGTTTTTAACCACAATGCACACAGTGCAAACAGTGCATGCTTCCCTCTGTAATCAGGATCTATCGTTGAATCCAAAGGATCCCAGATTCGTTTCATATACCCAACAGCCAGTCGTACTTGGCGAATTTCGGATTTTGATCTTCGGAGCAGTCGATTACTGAATATTCGGATCTCTGGAAATGTTGTATTTTTGTCTGAATCAAGATGGAGAATGGTGCTTCAAATGATCTTATTTCATTTCATCTTACCCTTTTCCTGCAAAAAAAACTGTGTTATTTATAATTTTTATTTAAATTTCAGGAGGCATTGAAACCGAGCGTGCTAAATCACTCTACAGTCGATCTTCGAGATTGTTCTAAAAGTGTCCCCGACAGTTGAAACCCACTTCAATCGATGTATTTTCGGAGGTTGATTCCGAATCACCCCCATGACATAGAGTTAAAATGCTCCCCTGACGAGATATTGGCGAAAAAACTGTCTCGATCACGTGATATGATCGTATAAGGAAGTTAGTCTAATTTCTCGTTAGGGTTAGGGTTTCAGCATATGCTTTTGTTAAAGATTGGGTTAGGGTTAGAGTTGGGATCAGATTAGAGGGTTAGGGTTTCGAATAGTCGTTCAGGACCAGCTAGAGAACAGGTTGAAAAAGTCACGTGACAGTCGAGTGTAGAGTCATTAATCATCATCCCATTGAAACATTGATATTTCGTGATATCTAAAAATGTATCTACATTTTGTAAATTTGTAGTTTTGGGGGTTTCATGAAGACGGCTAAGCTAAAAATGCCTAATATAACTGCTGTGATAGGATAATTGATAACATGCTTTCCATTATAATAAAACAGTGATCAAAATAGCTGGGAGAGTGAATGAGTCTGAATGATATCCAAAAGATGCATATTTAATTTTAGTGATCCATAGCATGTAATAACTAAATTAACTGCTCATCACCCTTGTCTTGTCCTGTTATCCATGAGTGTTAGACTTCACTGCTTGATCGTGTTCAGCTCGAGTCTGACAGATTGGACAGAAGGAACCATTGGAGTCAGGACTCCCATCAACAGTTAGCGGTCCGTAGATCGAGAACTCGTGGTCATGAGGTGTTGATCCACTGCTCCCACTTTTATGGAGCCCCTGACAAACCGAGCACTTGGAGGTGGTGATACTGATTGGAGCATAGTTATCTTGGTCTGGTTCCTTCGGTTCGTCAAAGAATTCTCTGATTTTATCAAACATTGATTTCGATGGTTCGGGTGATTTCTCCTGGTTCAATGTCTTGTCGATATCATCATAATCACCAATGAGTTTTAGAGTAGCTTCACCAGCAGCTTTGTCAACAAGAGTTGAAGTAGGTGAAGTGGTTGCTGGGTCCGCCGGAATATCAAGAACAATTGGGATCGGGTGTTCCTCAGTCTTAGCAGGCTCTAGGAGCTCGTCTAACCCTGCTTTCTCTTCCTCTACAGGACTATATGTGTGAGATTTAGAGAGTTCCTCCTCAGCATCCACAAACTCTTCGTCTTCAATACCACTCTCTTGTTCAACTCGGGGTCCTTCTTGCTCCGGATACAGGGTATCGTAGTCGTGGTGAGATGAAATAGGAAGTGTGTTTATTGATGGTGGTGGTGGGATCGGTTCAGGAGGTGATATTATCTTTTCAGGAGGTGATGACGTTTCCTCTGGTAGTGATGTCGTTTCCTCTGGAGGTAAATCTTCTGGAGGCGATGGTGTATCTTCTGGATGCATATCTTTTGTGGGATACGGTGACTCTTTCACAACATCTACCGGAGTTAAGAGTTGCAACTCTGGAGATTTGTCTTCCTCTGGAGAAGGTTGTTCTTCCATAAGATGTGGTGGTTTGATTTCTGGAATCGAGGAGTCCTAAGAATAATCCATCTTATAATCTTAAAATCTATCTACTATCCGTAGATTGTGAACGCGGGGAAATGAAAATTTAAGAGATTCCTGGTGAAAGTGTACCTTTATTGGTTTTAAGACGTTGACGTCCACTCGTATTTTACCATTACTTTCTTGAGAGATTTTCAGTTGTGTCTTCAGCTTCGAGCAGTTTTCGCAATTCTGCCGAAAAATCTAAAATCATGATTACGATTCTAGCACTGTGACAGTGAATAAAACATTATATTGATAATGTGTTTGTTTTGGGCTCAATATAAGTAATTGAATAAATATATCCATATACATGTATCATAGTGGAAAAGCACATCATGATCATCACGCCGCGCGAGTGAACTCATATAAATTTCAGCTAAACACAACTGAAAGTCTACCTGAACTTTATGAGACAGCTCTTGTATCTTCTTATGGAGGATTCTATTCTCCTGGGCCGTGTGTTCTAGTTCTCTTGACAGCTCCTTTAACTGTTCCTGACGTGCTCTGAAAATAAACTAATTAAACTCTGGAGCTTTGTGGAACGAGATGATGGAGAAGAACAGTGAACAAGGAATATGAGAAATGGTGGGGTGTGGCCTTATGGTAGTGATAAGTCAATACTACTATCAAAACCAGAAGTACTCATTTTCGTATTATGTGAGTACACCAACATGTATATAACGACATAAGATAACGGTTGATACTAGCAATAAGTGTAAATATAACCTTGAGCAGCTTCTAGTATCGAACAACGTTATACCCTGGTTTCTGTAAGCTCACTTATGAACATCATCTGCCCACCTTACTTTTGAGAATAAATGTAATACTTTCTTTACTGCTATGAGCTTGTTTAATTTTGAGTTTAACTCGGACATCGCATTTATCTTGCTGCTGTTGGCCCCATCGCTTTGCTTTGCTGGATTCCTAGTCACTATAACACTACTGATATGTATACTTAATCAAAATAAACGGATACCGGAGATATGTGAACAATGCTCCAGACATATCCAAAGCGACGCCGTACCTCTAGCGGTAAACTATTTTGTTTTAATCTTGAAGTTTCGTGTCCATTTTATAAATAAATAAGGATCGGATACTTCAGAGCGTGGGTGTGAATTTAGATTTTTTTTTGAAATATTGAGGGATAATTGAACAAGGATAAGTGATAACGTTTCTATTTTACAGGCAGGTAGATCCGAAATTTACACGAACGATCAAATACTGGAACTTGCCGCTCCCCAGGACGAAGTAAGACTTTTTTTGTAGTTGTACTCTTCGCTTGTAGACAATTATATTTTAAAGCCATTTTAAGTTTATCAACGAGGGAAATTTTCGTACTGATTCACTTTCAGTAAAACAAACAAACAAGAACTCTGTTTAGACATAATATCTTACACAGATCTTTTATGGCAGGTTACACAAAGATATGAATTCTATAGACACGAATCATCAGCTGCACTAAGTCTACCACAATACGAAGCAGCAAATGGCCATCACGAGTCAGTACAGGCACACCGACCTGATTCTGCCTACACCGATATCCCGGATTCTCCAATGAGAACAATTCCTGGGTACAAACGCAAAAGTTTCCATCACCCTGCCCGAGTAAATGTCACATTTTCAGATCTAGCGCTGCAAGATCCCCCCTCCACACAAACGTACGGGTCAGTTCCTCTACCTAGTAACCAGAACAGGATAAGTTTGTACGTTGATACAAATATTGCTGGAGAACATGCTGCAGAGGAAAAGTTTCTGTTCGACGACGTCTCCGAGGGCATCTACGAAGGCATGGACTTAGGACATTATGACACCGTTACACTTCCAACCCCTCCAGAAAATGACGAGAACACCAACAATTACGAAGATGTTGTGATTACCCTGAAAGGCAACTACCATAGTATGGACGTTCAAGGAGACGGCCATAATGACAGCGTTACGCTTCCAAGTCATCCCAACTTTGACGACAACGACCATTATGATATTCCTATGAATCCTAGGAATATCACCGGAAGAGATATGGGTGGTCAAAGCAGAGAGTTTCACGAAGATAATGAAGAGTTTCCGTTTCCAAAAAACTCTGATATGGAGCCAGAAAGTCCTTACGAGATTCCTGATGTCCTAAAAAAGCGGAAGCGGAGAAATAAAGAAATTCCTGATGGTCGCCACGTACACGAGTGAACTTAATGTTAAGGTGCTTAACATTGATTACTGCCTTAGTTAACGATTAGAAGCCAGGGTAATCAGACTTAATTGCAAGAGCTGTGCCGGTTTTAATCTTTAACATGTTATTAAGAACGTAATCAGAAATTTAATTTTAATGCTGCAATATAAATTAAAGTTTTAAGCCGCAGATTTATCTATCTGTTATGATAGAACAAGTAAAAGGACAACCCCATTTGACTTTTTTCGCCCTCATAAATATTAATTTTATTCTTCCGCAATATTCTCGATTTAGTAAATTAGTTATAAAAACTTCAAGTAGTACTACTTCCTGGGGCGTAACATTGCTTAATAAGTAAATAGAGAAGAAGCAGACAGTTCAGAACATTAATTAATGCTGACCACAAAATGGTGAAATCAATTTTAAATTACAGTTTTTCTTCCTTGATTTATTGTTTACAGCCTTCAAATAACCACTCTAATATCTTTCACGGAAAGAACTGTAGGATTTACACATCGAAACTTTTTATTCGGTAGTCGCAGTAAATGCTGACCATATCTAAATACTGGACGAGTTTTCTCTCGAAATTATCCTCGACTAATTCGAACTATTTTCGTATCTCTTTTGTGTCCAGTTGCACCATGTCAAGTCTAACCACCAACAGAAGTTGATTGTTAAATTAACTAAATTAGAAGTAGCTGCAAACGTGCCATGTTACTTCCATAATATTTTCTATCTGCCATGCATCTTTATTAGAATTAATTGATTTAAGTCTCACCAATTACATATGAGCTGTGTCGCATACAATGGTTGTTATTCCCGTTTTATACGAGTTAAGTCGACTTTCTTTGGATTTATTCAGAAAGCCATACACCATCAACAATAACCACAGAAGCTACGGTTAGAGTTATTCAGATTGCAGTTAAATTTGAGTAGACAGTTTGGGTTACGAATTCATTTTTCATTGCAGTTACTTTTGTAGTTTTGTTAACTTTTGAGCTGTTATATTTTCGTTTATTTGTTTTGATGTCACTTCCTCCAATGAGGGTTAGGTTTAGGTTGAAATAAAAAGCTCATACCCGAACCGTTATAGTCAGTCAATCTTTCAATTCTCTATCTTCTAGTTGGCCATGATATTCCAATTATTGGCTAGGCATGTAAACTTGCATTTGTTTTTTCAAAATAGTTATCCAAAAGTTTGTAATGTTATTTTATTTAATTAAACTCAAAGCCATCCATGTAAAATTAAATGACGTAATTAATGTATAATTATGTTAAATAATCGATTGTTTTCTTATTTCATGAAACTTGTTCTTCATAAAAAATGTTCACGTTTAATTTTTATAACCCTCCTATTAGTAGTTGAGCACTGTACAAATCTCTAACTCTAAGTCTGAACGAAAACTTCCAATGTATATCTCATAAGCAATGTAACACTGTTACTATTAGTAGCATGTGCACTGTTACTAACACTGCACATGCTGTAAACACTAAACATTGAATGCCCTTGCAAATAATATTCTCCGTATGTCTGAGGGACAATGACCAATATACTAACCTACTTGCGGTAGATTGTAATTAGTTTCTGCTCTAAATAGTTATAGCACTCAAATAAAAGTTCAACTATATATAGTGTTCTAGCTCATCATCAATATTAAATACCTCCGAAATGTCTATAGGTATATTTACAGATTGATGTAAGTGTGATATCGCTATGTCAAGCGCAACTTGCAGTAATCTCAACTTCAGTTATTGGGAATATATTGACAGATAACCTTGGCAATTTGCCAGTAGCACAGCTCACGTGAACACTATATTCTATCCCGGAAGTGACTCGCGTGTGGGGTGTGAATTACCAGCAACTTAACAAGGCAGCTCTCAAGGCTTATCGACATATTGGGATTATTGAGCTGGAGATAAGGATGTTATGATCTAAGATAAACCTGATTCATGTCCGGTCAAATGATAAAGCCTCACAGATACCTCACAGATGTGTCTATTATTCTGCGCGACTACAGCTTGGGTCATCTGGAATCTCTTGGCTATAACTCGTTGTTGGACAAGATAAGTACTATTTGATAGTACTGGTTTATTAGCTGTTGCATATAGCTCTATTAAGCTATTAGCTGTTACAGCAGATCCAACTCAATTTTAAACTTAAAGCGCAGTATTACACGGCTTTATTGCATAATGCATCAGTCTAAATACAGCTGCAATTCCTCTCGGCTCTTCAGGTAATGTGCATTTGTTATTTTCTTGTGTCACGTTCTGACTTCTGTCATGAACATTATACGAGAAATGGTAAAGCAGAGTTTTCGGTCATTACAATTTTCTTGAAAGTTGCACGGTGACTGTTAGCCACTAATCTGAAAGACAGCTTCAAGCTGACCAACTTTTATTACAGCTCTATAAATATTTACTAGCAGGAATCTGACTTTATTATTTCTATGAGCGACGTGATAATTATAATCTGGTTTATTTATGCAGTTTTTAACGTCAGTTGTTTGGAGAGTAATATATTGTTAGTTATTTAAGGGTTGACAAATCCAGAAAAATCTAGCTTGATGGATTTTTTTGCAGTTACATGTTTTAGGGATGTCAACCTTATAAAAACATCAAACTGTTCATTTTTGCGATTTTGTAGGTTTAATACACACTTGAGTTCTCTCCACGAGGCTGGCTATCACAACTATAAGGCGGGTTACATCGTGCCGTAGCAGGGCGATGCCATGGAGTTCAATGACTGAATTAATAATAAGTTGAACTCGAGATGCCTGAGCAGCCTCAATTTTATGATATTATTAGAGTATTAGTTACTTTAGCTCTATTAATTAATCTAAAATTAATTTGCTTGTAAGAATTGTTAACGTTATCAAGTAGAGGTGAGAGCCCTTTTCGACTTATCACTATATTTCATTGCGTTTGTCATTCCCGAAACAACGACGAAATGCACGTGTTGTTACTGGATATTCATCATATGAAAAGTAATCATATGAACACGACTGACGACAAACTATTATCTTCCTCATCCAATATCTTCTCCTTTTGTGTAGAGACAAAAGGAGAAGATCCGTGAGTTTATGCTACTTCTATTGTAAGCAAACAATGCTGTGTTATATAATGTTGAGTATGAATTAATTAATGCAGCTACGTCAAGTTTAGGTCATCTTCAGGGGAAGAAAGTGAAATACATTACGTATATTATATTATTTGCTCAATTGGTTACGTAGTGAGTGCCATGATCGATAGAACCTATATTGTGCTTCACAGTTACCAGTTTTTTCTGCCAGGAATTGCTGAAAATCGAAAATTGTCGTCGACAATCCGTAGAATATGATTTCCATTTTACTTTGGATTGTTTTAATTTTGAATCTTGAGTTGTTTTTATATATAACAAGGTGTGTTTGCCAAACACGGTTCAATAGTTGCTTTCAAGTGGTTCTTGTGCAGTTCCAGAAAAACCATAATTGAATGAGATATTAAGTTGTTTTGTTTAATTCTACTTACTATAATTTTATTTATCATGTTTGTAGCATGTAGTGTTTACAAAGCATTGTTTTATAGCTCACATACCAGTACAAAGGCCACTTCATCTCGTGATATTTTGAATAGGGTATTCTTTGAAATCTTTATGAAGAATTTATCAAAATTACGACCATATGCTTTCCTGTGAATGAGACTCAGTCTTTTCTAAGACAGAGAATGATCGTGTCTTCAATCCTTTAAGCAACCACGTCCACGATATAGTTTTATCGAACTTATATTTGATTTAAACTGACTTTATTGCAGATATCTATTTATGATTCAACATTAAAATACGAATGGATATTTATTATTTAAGCCTCTTAATCATCATCATTCAGGTTTTAGCCATGAAATTTAAGTTTGTTGAATCGACCAACTTCACGACGGTGGAGGACATCAACCTGCACCTGCACCTCTCTGAGCCCGCTTACGTCGGCCTGGTGACCTACCACTCCATCGCAACCATATTCGGACTAATCGGAAACCTGGTGGTCCTGATTGGCTCCCTTAAGTTCCACGCTATCGCTGTGGATAAGATCTCTACACTGCTAGTAGAAGCGCTTGCAATACTGGACATCCTCATAGTGGTGACCTTCTCAGTACCGGTGTGGGTGACTCTACTTCTCAGAAGGTGGGTCCTAGGTTCTGTGATATGCTACATCCAGGGGTTTGCTGGATTCTCCTGCTGCATGATAGAGATGACGGTTATCCAGGGCGTGTCTATTTACCGGTTCTACGCTCTCTCCCACCCCCTCTCTGCAAGGACTCTGACTTGCAGGCTAGCTAGACGCATTATACTGGGTATAACAGTGTTTATAGCTTCCTATATGCTGTGTATACACTTCATGGGACAATACTGGTTCTTCTCTCCCAATCTCCTGAGTTGTCAACCCTCGGGGATAACAGATCCTCGGACCTACATGGTGGTTTACACTGGAGTTGCTACAGTTCTCACCATGGTCCTCCCTCTCACAACTATCATTCTAGCCAACATTGGGATCCTCGTTTGTGTCACCAAGAGTAACTCTCAGAAGCAGAAAAGAGAAATGAAGCAGTGTGCTTATAAAGCTGATGATAAAGAGCATAAGATCAATTTAAGGAGAAACCTTCCCGGCAAGAAAGCCATCATCACAGTCTCCTGTATCGCCTGGGCATTTGTCATCTCCGTCACTCCAATGACCATAAGAATCCTTCTCCAGATCAGCCAAGTCAGTATGGACTCCTGTTTTAAGGTGATCTCTATAGAGGCTCTCTTCATTAACTCCATATCAAACCCCCTAATCTACACCATTACAAACCAGAGGTTTAGAAACTTCATGTACAAGATATGTGGTGAATTCCTGCACGTGCTCCGCACAGGCAGACGGAAGAGTGAGTCGTTCTCGTCCAGCTGGGCACAAAGTCACAAGATACTGGACTCCAGGCAGAGACTGACTAGGATGAATCTGAGCAGGAGTGCCAGCTCCCGGACCCAGGAGAGCCAGGCTAATACACCCTTGACACCTCTAGCGGAGAGCAAGGAGATGAGGACACCTCTCGGACTCACTCCTGAACAATGAAGCACATGATGACCCTCAGGGCCCAAGGGTAACCCTCAGGGGTGATCCCTACAATCCCTGGTACAGAACAAGGAGTATGAACCTTGAAACAGTCCTCTTGAGTTTCAACTCGCAAGTTTCTACCCTCAGGGGGCAAGTTTCTACTCTCAGGGGGCTTGTTACCATGGTAACATGATAACCATTGTCACAATATTACAATTTTTGACTCCTTGAAAACAATATGAAATGACCAGGATAAGACGAAAGATATGTGTGATCTGATGAAAAAACCATTCCAATAAACAAAAGACAAAACTTATAAATAAAACGTTTAGTAAACTCACATGGATTTCTCGTCGAGAGCGGAGGTAATTTGTTCCTTGAGTAGCTTTTAGTTTCTCGTCCCGTTCAGTGACCTCTTTCTTGGTCATCTTGTGACCCTCCGCAAGTTGCTTGGCGTGCTGCGATGTTAAACGTATGTCAACATTGTTTAAAAAACTGGATTTGTATCGTTATTTTGGAGTGTGTGCTAGTTGTGCGGTAGTGCATTTTTCGATTTTAGCGGGCTTTTAAAAATTCCTGGTATCTCTGTTCGGTAAGATTGCAGGATAGTACAGAATTTTTACTGTAATGTGTTTTGCCGATAACTCCCTGAATTTCTCATTACAGAATATATATGTGTAAGCTTGATTTGGAGCGATGCCCTAGGTAAAACGTTGTTAAATAGAAATTTATTTCATACTCAAGATTCAACTTTAAAAGGTTAACTTGGCTCTTTACATAATTATTGGAGAATTATTATTTTCATGTTGCACAGCTATATTTTCAACAAGTGTAGGATTTATGATACATATGTACCAACAAACGCAGGATAATGACTTATAAATAATGTAGGATAAATACAGACTATAATTTGATATTAGACTACAGAGCTGTATGGTATTTCCAACCTCCTAATCGCCCCCGATGTAGCACTAGCAGTAACAAAATATTTTTTATTGTGGAATTTATTTCAAGCTTCATAAGTACAGGGTGGGCCAAAAGTCAGTACCCATACGTTGGCCTTAATAGCACCGCCGTGTTTTATATTTGAGAGACTGTTGCTTTGCAGATGGCATACTTTACCTACTGGTTCGAGGATTCCGTCCGTCAAAATTGAAAATTCGAATATTTAGACCACGCCATTCAATATTAAAACACCTAAATTGTTTTTCCATCTGACATCGAAACGCCTAATTTTTAGAGACGTAGATTATCATATGTTGCATATGATCTCCAACATAGCAAAACGGATTAGAACTGACGAGTAATCAAGCATTTTCTGTATCTCGATAACAAAATTTGACTGGTGATTATGTGGACACCTGACACGAACACCTTTAAAATGGGCACCCTTAAACAATCCCATAATGTTTAACGGTATTAACGGGTCACCTTATCACGTGATTAGGTAAACCCAATCACCCTGATCACACCTAATGAATAAACTCGGTATTCTTCATATCTCGGTCATCTGAGAAGCTACAGTTCTAATTCTTTCAGACAAACGCAATTCGAAATGGCCAACACAATTCAATAATATTGGATGCGTGATCCGACTATCCAAACTATCAAATAATTATGAAATGAACCTCCATTTTGAAACAAATGAACGCGAATATTTTTCGAGTTGACAAAATTCCTCGAACCAGTGGTGGTTACTAAGTCATACCCAAAAGAAGTATGTAAATTGGGCACTCAGTGACTGAGCTATTTAAGCCAAACGTATGGGTACTGCTTTTTGGCCCACCCTGAATATATACTCTGAGGATCTCAGTCAGCTTTAAATAATTCTAGTTACTTTAAAATATTGATGTAATATTTGGATTGCGGTGACAGTATCATGTCGATATTGTGTTTTTTCAAATCTTTGTAAACGCGTGTTTAAAAAAGTAGAATTAGTATTACGTGATTTTATCATGTATTTACATTTTTTGTGTCGAGATGTAACTGTTTATATTGATATAAAAAACGTTCAAAACATATCCCAGTTTAATACCCGGGGGGGGGGGGGGGGGGGAGTCTTTCAAAGCCTGAATTCGGTCAGTTTGTGACAGAATGACTGCCTCTAACTCCTTCTCTTTTCGAGCGGCAATGTCTTTGTACTGCAACACCTAAAAAACCACAATGGCCTACTAATTACAATTATATATAATTTACTTTAACTATTATTAATGAAAAACGTTTAGTAACAAAACGAGACGAGCATGTCATTCATCTTATCTAAAAAGTTAATAAAGAAGTTTTTATTTATAAGCTTCTCATTACGACTGCAGATATAATGAAATGGCATATGTCTAGCGCACTTACTTTAAATTGCCGTAACTAGACAGGGGACAATGAGCCCTTCAGACAATATAATGATATGGAGCTTATATATTCACTTCCAGAGAGAGGGTCAGTGCTTAAAAAGTTAACAATGTGTTTCTAAATAAACTTTCTTATATAATGAACGAATATTAAAATATGTACAATCAAAGTTTGAATTATGGAATGGCACTCCTTCTTTTGATATAGACAGGTCCGTTCGTTGGCTACAGACTTGTTAAAAATGGACTAAACTTTACAAAATATTAACCAGACTTCATGAGGATAATTTCTAACCCTTTACTTAAAAACGACCTAATCTGGACGTCACCTGATAGAATGTACCACACGTGACCTAACAGAACGGCAGCCCGGAACAAGCTTACTGGGGGAGGGGTTCTTATATAGTATAGTGTAAAAAAATGTTGTGTAAAATAGCCTAAAAAAGCCTTAAAACGTGTAAAAAAGTGACATTTTTTTTCTCACCAAAAATATGTTTTACCTTTTGGAAATGTACTATGTGAAGACTGATTCGAAAATAATAAGAAAAAAGAAGATTTTTAGAAGATAATTTGGTTAATGTAATTTAAAAGTGTAATTAAAAGTGTAAAAAAGTGTAAAAAAGTGTAAAAAAGTGTAAAAAAGTGTAAAAAAGTGTAAAAAAGTGTAAAAAAGTGTAAAATGGTGTAATATTAATAAAGTGTACCTTTTTTACTACACTTTTTACTACACCATACACCAAAAAAGGTAAAATGTAGTGTAAAAAAAGTGTAAAAAGTGTAGTGAAAACCCCACCCCCCCCCCCCCCACTTACTAAACATCCTGATTACTAGACATCATAATCACGTGACAAACCACGTGACATACCACGTGACATATCACGTGACATACCTCGTCCGTGCTCTCCTCTAGTTCTCTCTGTAACATCCTGTACTCCTCTAACGGTACTGTCGCCGCACAGTTAACGAGCTTGCTTTGGAGTTCAAACACTAGAGCTTCAGTCTTGGTGTAGAGGGTAAAGAGCTGCGGGGGCGAAATACTGGCTAAAGTGCTGAATTTAAGTGGCAGTAAAGTTGTGTTAAAGCTGTCTTTTATAGATGTTAGGCTCATTAACTTGGCTTACGGCTATAATAGATATCAGATTATGAACATGAAACTTTCATACAGTTTCAAAATATGAACTCAGCGATTAAATCAAACCAAATTGCTGCTTCCTCGGGTTATATGCTCGGTTAATAAAATCTCCTATCTAATCTAACGTTAACTAACCTTATTGTGTTCATCTTTGTTGACAGAGCTGTCCCTGAGAAGAATCAGCTGATCCTCCAGAGATAACTTCTCCGAGCATACCTCTCCGTACTTCTCCGTTACCTCTGCTAATTCCCCCTTTAATCTCCTCTCCTGCGGGTATCAGTTGTGAGTTTGTGATATCAAACTCAAGTTATACTCCTCCAGTATGAGATACTATCATTAAGGAACCATGGCAGAAGATACATTACCTAGACATATTTAGATTCAGTCAAATGGAAGGACCTTATCAGAGGCTACGATACATTGTGTGGAATTATTTAGATTGAATTAAATAGAAGGACCTTATCAGAGGCGATGCGGCGGGTTGCTAGAACTAGGTCCTCTTTGTCGGATAGTGTTTTCTGCAGCCGCTGTATCTCCTGCTTGAGTTTATCTATCGTGCAGGCGTCCTGCATTCCCGATGTATTGAGGCTCTGGGGATAGTTAGTTTAGAAATAGTAACACTCTCACACAGAGAACAATGAATATTGTAATTCGCACTTTTCCCACGACGAGGAAATGTACTTCTCCGATGGATGGTAATAATATTCATTGGATGAGTGGTTTCTCGTTGCGAAACTAATGGCATACTAGGAGAACAATCACATTCACAGTTACCAGTTTACATCAGTCAGCTATTAGCTATATATTCACAAAGACGACATGGTCTACCCAGTTCAATGATAGACTGCCACGTGGTAGATGTAGCTTAACATTGGTCAAAAGTGAAGTGGTTTTCTTTGCTTTACTGTGAAAGCTATGAATGCTGAATTCATGTTTATTTAAAATGATTCATAGATCTACAGACTGTAGCCAATTTCTTGTCAGATGGCAGTTTAGGTCGTGGTCAATAAGGCCGCGTACTGTGGTTATTATACGTTAATAGAACACTTCTGCTTAACACTGGACAAACAATTCTTGTTTGGATTTGCTTCAGATTAAAGTTTGTGCTTCACAAAGTTTAACGCAGCGCTCTGATCACGATCATGACATTAAAATATATTGAGTTATCTTCTACTTACGTATAATAACCTCGTATCAAATGTTATATTTACTAATATCAGCAAAATGGCTACAGTTTAATCACCACAAACAAATACTAATCCTTACTGAACATCACAACAAAGTATCACTGGTTACTACAGAAACTAAAGCACGATCTCACATTATGTGTAACCTGCGGCAGTAGCTCAGGCGAGTACCACGACTCCACAACCTACGAGATCTCAAGTTTAGTAGGAGAACTTTACATTTAATAAACCTACAATTACCTTACGTCCAGAGACCCAACATTTTTCGCTCAGTCAACTTGGTAGAGAGCGATACAACTCGAAATAAAGTGAAAATTTCTGACAAAGCCATAATATTATAGATTTACATCGCAGAGCATGGTTGTCAGACCATGGTGGTTAGTTTGATCATGAGTTAGAAATCTGATCTCGAACGTTGAACGACCACCCGTGATTATTTACCAGCTTTCGTGTTCGCGATTATTAATCATCTCATTGGATGAAACTGCATACTTTCTGAGAGCCGTTCAAAGATCAGCTCTACAAAAACACGCAGCAAACCCGCACCTTATCATTCAGAGAAGTCCTCCTAAAAACCACACCCTCTTCTTCGGGCCTGGTTGATCCCGCAGTCCGGATATCCCTCAATATCCCGCCATTGCCCACGGACCGCTCGGGAGTGAGGAGCTTGCGGCCGCTTGCGAAGAGGCGGGCGGTGAGTGGGTCGTTCTGAAGGGGCTTCAGTCTAGTGCCGTACACTTGAGAGATGCAATCAGGTCCTCGGTACATCAGACAGCAGGGAGCAGAGAGTCAGGCACGTGGGGGCGCCTTGGGCACATCTACTGAACAACGTCTGGATAAAACCAGTATAGTAATGAAACGACACGGTGTATAACGAACTGGGAAAAGACAGAGTACTAAAAGCGCGAGGGTTAAGTTATTGCTTTTTCCAGTTTCTCAAAGTTCTAAATAAAAGGTAATTTTTCAACAAAGACACACAAAATTTTAGCCATTAAAAAAGTCGGCTAAAAATCTTTCAAAAAGTAATCTTATGAAGGTGGTTTCCTCAGTGGATATAGTTTGTGATGTTTTAAGTGAAACCAAACAAAGTGAACGTGACTAGAGTGCCCAACTGCTCGGTTGTAACCTGATTCCGACATCAAGACCTAACTGTGGAAACGGGGGACCATGTTATATTTAGATACACCTGAATCAACGAGTAAACACAAAATTGACACCACACAAAATCTCACCTTGACCCTCAGGTTAATCTTCCTACCACTAACTGAAGCAGGATTATAGTCCAACATTTTCACAGCAACGTACCGGTCAAATAACCGATAGTATCACATCGAAAATATGATGATAGCAGAGAGCTAGTAAACTTATAGTGACAACTTTAACGTGCTCTAGCTTTTTATTATATAATCGTAAGTAAGCTGTGCTTCATTAATAATATCGAGTATTGAGGGCGGTAACGATGTGGCACCGGGGTTCGACCAATTCTAATGCTACGAATCTTGTCGCTTTAAAGGCTGTCCCGGGCAGTAGCATACTAACGACTATATTGAACCTTGATAAATTGTTCCCCGGAGCGGATCGGTTGGATCATTACCGCCACGCTTCCCCGATATAATGGGAGTTAGTGATGCAAGTGCATGAGAAGATTCGACGGTTTTCTAAGCTGCTTACCCGATGATTAAGAGGCAAATGCTGATCAAGACTATTCTGACGCAATACCGACGTGATTTCAGTGATGAGGACTGATGAGGATGGACACGAATCACAATTTAACACCATCTGGAAATATCCAGAGTGTCATGGCGTGGTCGTGTCTACCCCAGATTAGAAAAAGATGGCACTTACGAAAACACCCCGGTGAATGCTGGTTGGGGATGACAGGATGGATACAGGCGAGGTGAGTCCACTGACTGGAGGGGACTTACTCCTCGACAAGCTTATGTCATCCTTGATTATCCCGGATACTGGAGATGGGACCGTGTCACCCTTCCTCATCACTTGATCGAGGTACGGAGATTTGAAGTCACGGGACACTTGCCCAGATCGGGGTTGGAAGTCAGGTATGTGGAGGTCGATCACCTCCTCTATGAAGTCATCCTCCTCTTCTCCGCTCTCTAAAATCTCTTCAGGTTCTTCTTCTTCCACTGGTGTCATACAGTAGTCTCTGTAGTCTAACCAGGGATACTCTACCTCTTCCTCTTTTCGTTTCATTTTAAGGTACTTAATAAATTGTTTAACTTTCTTGCCAGTGTTCTTCACACCATCTTTAACCTTTGGTTTGGTTGTCTCAATGAACTGAGCCGTTTTATTTTTAGTTAATCTAGCACCTTTCCGGGTTTTATATTCAGCTATCTTGGCGCCCTTTCGTGTATGATAAACAGTCCTTTCGGCACTTGTTTTGACTCCAGGGATCACTTTTTCTTTGGTGAAATGTTTTGTTGCGGATGCACCCTGTCGCGCCGCAGGTATAACTTTCTCTGTCGCGAAATTCTTTGAAGCAGGAATAACTCTATCTTTCGTGAATGTTGCGAGCTTATACGGAAATGGTGGTGGTTTCGGAGCGGTCTGGTCTCGAGGGAGGTCTCGATTGGGATTCACATGGGGAGCAGGAAGGAGCCTCCCTCGTGGTCGAATTCCCAAACCGTCAAAACTCCTTGACACTTTAATAGGTTTATCATCAAATTGTCTATCCCTCCGTTGAGATGATTGGCTTGATGTTGATGGTACGTCGTTGTTAGTGGACCGTACCTCTGACCTTGTATCACTACTCTCTGATCGCTGTCTAACTGGTTTCACCTTCTTTTTGTTCTGAACTCCCATCTCCTCCTGAATAGTGTTGAGAGCTGTGTAAGTGAAGGGTTCCTGAGTACTCTGATGATGTCTGATCCCCCTGGTGAAGACTGCGTGAGAGTCAGGGGCAGGGGTGCGGGGGATGGGTGTTGGTGGTATATCTGGCGCTCTATCTGTCGGTGCCACCCCCACATCCACCTCCAGATAGTAACCACTGGTACCTGTGGACCTTCGTACAAAGGGAGCCGTGACCCCGGGTATACCTTCATACGGACCAAGGTCCATCCTCGGTGACTTCCTGGAGACTTCTGGGTAGACTTTCTGGGTAGACTGTTGCAGACACAGAATACGAGCAACAAAACGGAAAGTGTTAGGCAGAGTTTACGTGTAAGCAAAGTGGAGACACCATGTGATTTGTTTGCCAGGAGAAATAGTTGCACACACAGAATATGGTAAAATACAAATATAACTAACTGCGCAAGGTATTGATACTGATAACCAATCATCAAGACTATTTCAAAATAACCTTTCAAACAGTCTATTAGTCTAATTTATTTATTAGTCTAATTAGTCTAACCTGAAGACGGTCACCTCTGACAACAAATTTTACTGCACGTCTAAAGTTCTCCATGAGCAACTAAACTACAAACTGAAAACCATAATCTCACTGCATCGACCAACAGAAACAACTGTCGCAAAAACACACCATCTTAACTCAATATCGTGAAGTATCTTGAATGTGCTTGTCCTAAGAAGCTTTATCATTGCATGAACCAATCCTCTATCACTGCATGAACCAATCCTGAAATTATAATCCATGGATTGAGTATACAGCAGAGCCGTGTGATAGTGCTTTATAAACCTCACAAAACAATATTTACTCCTGGAACCATGTTTAGAGGACTCCTCCAGCTGCCCGTGATTAATAAGCAGCTGAGTGGTTTGTTGAGCTCGAGGCCTGCAGACCACCTTGGAACTCAACCTGAACATCAGGTCATGTGTGGTGTGTTTACTGTTGCGTGTTTATCACTGTCTGCTCTGTTTTTAATATTGCGTTATATCCTGCTAGTCAAAACATATTGCTAGTCTGCAATTCTGAGGACACATTGTTCTGTTAAATTAATCATCACCAACCGGATGTTCTCTACAACCGGATGTTCTATGAAAACTTTCAGCCAACTTTCGCTGAACTCTTCAGTGTCACACTCTTCCGTGTCACACTCACTAAGTTCAGTGTCACATTCTTCGTGTCACACTCACTAAGTTCGTGGTTGGAGTGACGTTATCTCGTGATCGTGAGTGAGCACAAAGTAAAGTTTAAGTTAAAAGTAACAGATAAAGATGAATAATACGATAAAAGTGACCAATAGTGCGGTTCTAAAGACCGATAACGATAAATAACAAATTGAAAGAGGAAAGTCAGACTACAAACACCGTGTCAGAAAGCAGCCACGGCTAGAAATACAGTCATTTAACAGAACTCATGGCAAGCAAAACAAGCAGCAGTACATATCGATGAGTTGAGTACAAAATTAGTGCATAGAGGAAATCAGCACTGTGCGAGCAATCAATAAGGGTCATTAATGACATGACTATCAGTAGTGGTTTATAATGGTATAATTAGCAACTCTCACGGTACTGGGCTGGTAACTTGGTTCGTGGTCTACATCTAGGCTTGTTGATCACCATGCAATTAATATGCCATGCAAACTTATTAATGCTTCGTGGCGTCGTATATTTAATATCGTAAAGTTAAAACGTAGCTAACCGTAACGATGAAAATAGCGATACTATAAGCGAATGAGTGGTGGGTAATGACAAAGCTTTTTAAAAACACCATTCTAACGAAAACTATAAACGATAAAGTTAAAAGTTTGAGTGAATCAGATAAACGAGCAATGTAAATATCCATTAACAAAACAAGCTACAAAAAAGCAAACACCAGACCACACATTGCTTTCAACAAAATGATCACACACAGAACTGTTTTATCTGTGTTCTTCATTCCAACTGAAGTCACGATTAATACAAAGTCGATGTAGTAAGCAGCAACGAGCACACGAGAGGAGCTCGGAATAACGACTTATAGTTCATTATCACTCGTTAGGAGTCATCATCTTGGAAACGTGACGACGCTGTGGATATATTTCATGCGCAAAATAAGAGAATATTATACCGTGAAAATGTATTTGCATACAAAAAGTCATCAAATTCAGTTCGTGAGGAGAAATGGTAATATGTCACGTACAATCTGTTGATCTTTTACACAGCAATATGAACAATACTAATACCATATAATATGGACTGTGGGTACGGTTAGAAAGTAAATTTACTTTTCATCAGCATGTTAAATATGCTACTGAATATTGAAATCAAGTTATCACCTAAATTTAAAGCATAACATTAAATTCGGTCGCCCAGCAAACAGCCTCGGTAGCTCAGCAAACCAAACGAAACATATCAAAACTGTAATCAGTTAAACCAGATAACAAGATAATATTTCAGTTTTGAGGTGTGAAAATATCGAAACTTACCTTCCCAATAACCATCATCATATTTGACATGGACCAGGATTCCCTCACACTTTCCTCCCGTCCACTACAGCGCTAAGTACAAATAAATCACCTACATTGAAGGTAGTGTTTTTAGTTGCCATGGCACCAAATGGACTCTCTATTCGTGCCTAATGACGTGATTTTTAGATATAAAATAACAGTTCCAGTAGGAGACTGAGATAATAACTTAATCTTCTCTTCTTCTACAACAGTTCATAAAGTAAAACTGGTGGCAAAACGTTGTGAAAACTCGAAAATTTCAAGAAACTGACAAAGAAAAGGTTTAATAGCCACAACTGAAAAAGGAAATATTGTATGAAAACCCGTAATATTTCTCTCACCACAACGGAAAATGTGGGGACTGAGCAAGGAGGAGGGGGAGGCGGTTATATGATTCATTCGGAATTTATTGTTGTGCTTAAGTGCTTAGCATAATCGGACTAGATTTAAAGGAATCAAGCAATCACCTAATTGC